ATAGTAACATTGCATGCGTTAAAAAAGATGCTGTTAAATTAGTATTAGAAACTTTTTAGTAGGAATACATATATACAGTACAGTAAAATGTACAATAGTCAGCGAGTTCGTCAAACAAGGTATAAAAAAAAAGTCTCTCCTTGGGTAGCATCTTTTTAAAGAAAATTATTAATTTCATTAAAAAAAACACAAGTTACTGATTGATTAAATAATTGTATTTTAAATAAGAAATGATTATGCACAGTTAAGGTAACATAGGACAACATTTAAAAGATCATTATATTAGTGCTACTGAAACTGTTAATTATTTCAAGGTTTTATCTAAGTGCAAATCCAAGTTTGATTGCTTAATTAAAGAAATGCTTTGGATCAAAGAACTGAAACCTACACTTAACAAACTGATTCAGTCAAAGCCAAACTGTTTATCTAGTTAATCAGCTAAGAAGGGCTAATTATTGCTTAGCTCCACTGTGGCTCCACACAGTAGGCCCTATTGATATGTAAATTAATTACTTACTTCCTCTCACTGCTTGGTATTTTTGTTTTCAGTTTTTTCAATTTACTTGATCTTGAGAATGGTTCCATGATGGACCCGAAACGTCGATCTTTCTTGTCATTAAATTTTGTTTTGAGATTATGTTCTTAATTGATAATAATTTGATTTACTAAATTTCATTATGTAAAAATAGTTATGCTTTAACATAGATTAAAAATATGTTACGCCTTACTTATTTTTAATCTATGGTCTTTTTAATTAATTTTCTTTTTTTTTTTATTAGAAATTCCGTAGTGCAGAATACATTTTTCAAAACCCATTAGGTTTACAGTAATATGAAAAAAAAATTAGTTTATACAGAAATAGTATCTAAAATGATCTCAATTTCCAAAGTTAAAGCAAAAGATCTAATCTAAACACACAATTTGTTTGGAAAAGAACCCATTCTTTTGTGAAATTAAGAGGTTTATAGGTGAAAATTGTAAATTTAGAATTAAGTTATATTTTTTCCTTTGAACTGAGATCAATATGTGATTTTTTTTTTATTTCTTTAAAAGCATTTGTTTTTTACAGCAGATGCAAATAATGTTTTGAGAGATAATCGAAAAACAATGGCCATTGAATAACATTTTTTGATAGTAGAAATAAAATTTTTAAAAACGTTATTTCACTAACAAAGTAGAGGAATGACATACAGTATACAGTACTTCAACTACCAAAATATGCAACTCATAGATAACCACAAACTTCACTTTTGTTAAATATCAAATGAATTAACTTTACATGTTATAAACAATGCAAATAAACAGTAGTTAAAGCATGTGGATCAATTGTGTGTTTGAATCAGAAGTTCATGTATGGGAAAAGAGAGAGTCTTACTTTCTCGCAAACTTAGCAATAAATTGTCTGCTTAGAGTTTATTCAAAGAAGTATTGCTTTTAGTAAACTGAATCATTAGGAATACATTTATTTAAGCAACTAATTTAGTTGCATACTTGGTTTTTACTCATCACTAACTAAATCCAAGTGCCTACAATACTGGCTTAGAATTATATATAGTTATGTATGGCAATTACGCTAAGAATTAAAATGGCGTGTGATTGTGAGGGTATGGTGATTATGGTAGGATTAAGTGGTATTGCTAAATCCCACACACCTCCCAAAACACACTGTAGAAAATCAAACAATTCAATTGTGATTGACTGACTTGGTATATCAATAAGAAAATTAAATACATTCATAACTATTTTTTGGTTAAAATTTAGATTTTTTATGAAAAAATACTTGTAAATACACCACAAACCTCTAAACACACTGCAAACCCCATCTAAACCATATAATTATGATTGTAGAACTCTCTTTTTCTTAAAAAAAAAATTTAATAATTTGATGTTCATACTAACCCACTGTTTGTGGGGTTTACCAATACACAGATTGAATTTTTGGAAAATTGTGATTTCGCTTCCGTGAAATATGCCACAAGTAAATTATTTTAGTATTAATAAATGCATGATTTATGTGATTTATTGATTATGTTGTTGCTATTTTTTAACATTTAAATGGAAAAAAAAATAAAAAGTATAATTCATGGCTTTTTATTTATCTTTGAATATTTTATCATTGAATATTATTTCTTGCAAAAAGTAAAATGTAAATGGCAAATTGTTTGATGTTAAATTCCTTTTAAAAACTAAATTATTTAAGATAAAAAAATGCATATATTGAATAAAGAAAATCAGTTTTAATACATAATTTGATTATTGGGGCCATTTTACCTACCTGTCATATGGGGCCATTTTTACAGGGACCATTTTTTCCGGGGCCTTTTTTCCGGGGCCATTTTTTCCGGGGTCATTTTTTCCGGGGCCATTCTTACCGTACACTGGCCTAGTTCGTGTTCCTCTAGCTCTAGGCCAGCCTGCATTACAGTAGTGTACATGGTTTATCTCTCAGAGGAGAGACCACCCACCCTTGCAAGCACCACAAAACGGCTCATTCTTCGCTACCAACTAGACTCGTGCAGACGTATTTATTAGCCGGAAAGCTTACCATTCCAGGCCGTGATTGGTTGATAAACACAATTTGGAATATACAGGCGATTTGCAATCTGATGAATGACAAACACGCGTTCATAGGAAACCCACCGTAGTGTTAAGAAATATGATATAAAAACATACTTTTTCACATATTTCCCGACAATATTTTCGCAAAAACTCTTCATACTTTAAATTCCCCAGGCCTTATCTTCCATATTGTTGCAAGATCGGCCTAATCGCGTCACAAACGAAGGAAGAGATAGAAAAACAAATGACTTCAAAATTCGCTCAGAATCATCATATAAGCCCTCTCTCTCAGAGAGTGGGCTAAAAACGGGTCAACTGATCCGAATGCAACTTTCGGGAAAGTTTAACCAAAGTTATAAGGAAGATATTATGTGTAGGAGGACGATCCAGGTTAGGGTGTAAATTTGAGGGTCATTTAAATTGCTTACGTCACAGTTATAGACGGATAGAAGATGACACTTTGCAGAATAGTTTTTCATGGTGAAATGAAGAAATGATCCAATTTTGGTGACGATCCGCAGTAGGGTGTGGATATGTGGACCATTCAAAGATTTTTTGTTGACAGTTGATTAAATTATTTAAACGCAATTTGGGTTTTCTAAAGCGCTTAAACCAGTAGCAGCTAGGTTAAACTCAAAACTACCGTGATATGCATGAACAATTTTTGTTTTCGGTAATTGAATCGCTATGAACAGAAAATACATGTTTGGCTCAAATGGCCAACAATGGTTATGAGTCACGATGTACCTCGCCATTACCATTGCAGCCATAGTTCAAGTCTCACTAATAATGTCGCAGTAAACTTGGTTTTCGTTTTTTTTTTCCACTTTAAAAAAATTGTATTGGTTTTCCGTGTTTTTTTTTTACTTTATTGCTTTTAATGACTTTTCTTTTTGTTGCGATTTCAACTTTATTTCTCATTAAAGCAATGAAGAAAATCCCTACGTTCTGTTGTTCAGACATAGTAAGTCTAGTTATTACTATTAATAATAATAAAAATAATAATAATATTGATATTATCATTATTATTATTATTATTATTATTATTATTATTATTATTATTATCATCACTAAATTACAGAAAAACAGAACTGTTTGCGATTCATAAAAATCCAAAAGAATATAAAAAGTATATGACATCTCACACTTAATGTGCAATTGAAATTATAGAAGTCGCTATGTAGTGGGTTCGCAGCAACTTAGTGGTATTAAAATTAAGTTATGCTCGCTAGTGAATTTTCCCTATAGTATAGTGCAAAAACCCTGGAAAACTAAGACTTTTGCAACTTCTGAATAGGCCTACATTATTCTTATAACTCTATGACTGAAATGACGTGCGCCCGCTATCGGGGAATGAAAACAAAGCATCTTTGATAAACCTCTAAAATCACTTTATTGATAATTATATACAGTGTAATTTGTAGGCTATTCTGTTTCTACATCATAAATATTAACCATAAATATAAATACAACATATGCATATATCTGAATTATCATTCTACATGCATGCATATTGGCTTTTCTTGTATAGTTTTCCAGGTGCTAGGCTTTACTCAAGAACGCTTAATAAATAAATAATAATAATGATGATGAAAATGATAAATATGATGATGACGACGATGATGATAATAATAATAATAATAATGTAATACTAATAGTAATACCGTAATAATGATGATGATATAATAATAATAATAATAATAATAATAATAATAACAATGCTATCATAATAATAACAATGACAATAATAACATCATCAACAACATCAGCAAGATATAACAACTATCCAGACAGCAACAGTAACAACATCAAAAACAAAAGCCTATAACAAAAACTATAATGATATATCAATAACAAAAGATAAAAGCATAATCATATTCACAAACATAGTGATGTAGAAGCATATTAGACTTATTTGCATTAATAGGAAGTTGCAAATATTCTAATAGTGTAGACTTAATTGGCTATTTGTGATGATTTCTTAATCATCCAATACTAACATATTTATTGTCACCTTAAAAAGGCAAGAATTCAACTTCCTAAATAAAATGATCAGTAATGTAATTATTATAATAAATGTATTACAAGCATTATATTAGCGTTTACAAAATGAGCACCTGGCCAGGAAGTAATTGTTGATTTTAATTTAAATAGTTCGTTCTTATTTCTTATTCGTTTTTAACTGTTCGTTGATTCATCACATCAGTTATTTGAATGGCCGCTGGAAATGTCGATTGCCGGATGACTTCGTTGATTGACTGTGATTTTTTGTGTTGTTTATTCGTCTCTTGTTACCACGACGAGCACCAGTTATGTTTGGAAGTATACCTTTCTGGAGAAACAACTTTAGTTCATTGATAGGTCTATTTGAGAAGTAACTGACTGTTATCTGTGGGTCGTCGTCTTCTTCATATTCAGCATTACTTGGCCAGGATTGTTCCGTGTGTGCTGCGTCGTTATTGTTATTGTAAATATCTAAAAAGAACGGTGGAATGGAGGCAGGTTGTCCACCATCTGAAGAATGACGAAATAATAATACTTCATATACCAACTAT